CACCAACTTTAGGAGAGGTGGGGGAACCTGGGGTACCAGTTGGAGTCCTTAAAACGGGTCCTTCTTTTTACAATACTTCTTTGTTTGAGATTACTTTTCTTCTAGTTGTCCTTCATTTTGTTCATGGTGATAAGGGTGATGCTGACACATGCAAATACTACTTCTTAATAACTCTTCAAACAACACAAGGTACTTTTGGGTATTGGTGCTGGTTTTATTGGATTAAATTCCTACATGTGCATCCTTTAGATGACGACTCAATAGATCAGTATTGTCCTTCTTGCGCTAATCGGGAGGAGAATGCCCTTTATAATAATGACCCCGCTTGCTCCACCGAGAACTTTGTACGTTGAAGGCGCATGGTGGTTGCCTTTTCCTAGATACTATGTTGATACTCTAGGTCGTGCCAAAAAATTTGTTTTAATTATTGTGTTTTTAAAGTACTTTGTATCTCTGTGGCAACGCATGGCCATTTAGTTAGTTTATGAGTTAATTGATGAATTAAGCAAGGGGCAATGATCGTTTTGTGAGAGAGGTCTAGCGGACGACCAAAACCAGAGCGGTTGTCCCAGCTACTCCATCTCTTGCTGCCTCCTGGTGGCCTACTCGTGGAGGAGTCGAAGAGATGACAAAGGAGATGTGTGCTCGAGTTGCGGTCTTCGTCACGTGGTGCTCGAAGACAGTGTTAGTGATCTAGTGTGGTGATCTTCAACGGTGCCCCGACCTGGCTAGGTCACCGAAGAAGAGAAAGTCGATGCATGGTCCTCGCCGGTGGCGAGCTCGACATCAGTCACAAACCTAGTGTGCATCGTCATTGGTGTTCTTTTCAGGTTTACTTTAGGAAGTCTTCGAGTTTGGCTTGGGGTGGTGAGACGGCGAAGCTGTTTCTGCCCTGCCGGACCGGCATCCCAGCTACCTGCTCTCTGATCAAGGTGTCGTCGCTGCCGCGTAGGCAGCCTCCGCTTCCGCCTCCGCCGTGTCCTCATTGTCCGCCCCTATCAACTCATCATTCTGCCGCTGCAACATCTGGTAGCGGGCGGATTGCACGATCATTCTTGCGTCGGCATCCAAAGTGGCCACATTCAAGGACAACATCTTGGCGTCCTCCGCATTGGCGGCGATCTGGAACTTCTTTTCCTCAAGCGTGACCTTTCTCTCTTCGATCATGGTCCTCTTTTTTTCGAGCTTGAACTTCTTGTCCGTCGCCTCCATCAACAATTTAAACCTCTTCGCCCTCTTCTCCTCCGTGAGGTCCGAACCCTTCACTCATGCCTCCTCCTTCTTCGACAAGATGTCCTCGAACCACTCCGTCAGCTTGGCTGTCACACTTTCTCTCTTCGCCCTCTCCTCCGCCCACTTCTTCCCCCGTAAAAATCGTCTATCCTACTTCGGTGGTTCTTGGGTTGGGTCGGGAGGGTCACTGGTCTCTTCCTCGTTGGCTTGGGCAGCGGTCTTGGCTATGAAAAGGTTTCACTTCGGTTACCCATTCAACTTCAAGCAACAATGCACGACGCTGAAGATTTCTCGGTGGGCGCGCCCGTCTGGCGGCGTCCGCCACGACCTCCACGCCCAATGCCACAACCAAGCCCACCGACGACCATCGACTTCTTGGGCTTCTCCTCCTTTTGTGGACTTCACTTTGACGCGACGAGTTTGCCGCGTAGCCGAGCTGATCTTCCGGGCGAGCGTGGTGCTCGGATCCTTCGACACCACAAACACCTCCATCTCCGACAGCTTCTATGACGGTTCCATGTGTCGGCGGTGGAAGGAAGAAGAGGGTGAGAGAAAGGGGCAGGAATTGGGTAGAGAGCGACGGTGACGAAAGATGAGAGTGAGGGATTTTCACGCGGAAACAGTGCGGGTTGCAACAAAAGTGCGGGCTCCACCTTCTTTTTGGATGGGCTAGAGGGCAAAGAATGATGTTTTCTCGTGTCCGGACTCCCACAAACCCCCTCCTCCCGTTTGGTTTCAGTTTACGGGTAATCATGATCCAGATAACGCCACAGACTGATACATGACCATAAAGTCCTACTCACAGTTCAAAACGCTGCACCCATCGGCCATCGGGCCATGCCGTCCATGCCGAATGCAAATCGTGGTCCGTACAGATTTGATCAGATTTGCTGGTATAGGGACGAGCACGAAACATGCAAGCAGCTCACAACCCGAATCTTACGTACACATTGCATTTCAAATTTCCCCCCAAATTACCTGGACGCATACATGACAGATTGACAGTACATCATCCTCATCGTTCACAGATAGTACATGCAATGGAAGCAAACACTAACGAAGACACACTCGACCGGTAGAGAAAACAAGCAGCAAACGCGGCGGCGAGCTGAGGAAAAGAGAGACGCGTGCAAAGACCAGCAGAATCCAGGACCCGAACAGCAGCACACACTGGAGGCCCCTCTGTCCTCTGATATATCTACAGTTCAGTGCCTCCGACCATCGAGAACGGCGGCCGGCCGTCGATCTAGCGGCTGCCGAAGGAGGCGGACGAGCCGAACTTGGTGGCGCTGGCCCTCAGCACGTACTGGTGGTATAAGGCGGCGATGGCGGCGCCGATGAATGGCCCCACCCAGAAGATCCACTGCAACCACAATGGCCACAAATGTAAGCATAAGATGTCTCAGAGTAATTTGAATTAATTTCCTCCTAATTGCACTCTCTACAAAACTTTGGGCATACAAGATGGCACTAAGTAGTTAGGTACATTAGATAGAGCTATATAAGAGTTTCTAGGGTAGTTGGATGGTGGAGCAGGTGGGAGTGGGACGAGATTGGGCAGCGTGTATTGCTCCAAAAATAGTATTTTTTTTGCAGATATATCATACATAAGCTACAAGACTATACAAAAATAACTTCAAGGCTAATCAGTGGGGTGTGACATCGCTTGAGTTTATTAAGTGATCCTTATCCCGGGTCCTTGGCCAAAATAATCGACCTGCTCAGCGTTCTGATTGCTACTTTTGAACTTATGGACGAGGAATACCACAAAAGTTTTATGTCTAGTTCTTTTAAGCTTTGAGTCTGCAAGTGATCGCGAACCAGTCATTTGGGATGACATAGTGCAGCATGGGTTTAATAAAGTTATATATCCTAGCTATCTTGTGCCGTTCGATAAGATATGCAGTATATTCTATCTGTTCTTATGGATGAGGAACACCACACAAGTTCTCTTTGTTTTCTTTTATTTTTATGTAATAGTCTTCGAGGTGATTGTGGCCACTGCTTACTGAAATAGTAACTGTGAGAACAATATTAATAATTAGCAGAGAGATGCATGGGGGGCAAAGGCGGTACATACGTGGTCGTCCCAGGCCTTCTCGTTGTTGTAGATCACAGCAGCCCCCAAGCTCCTTGCCGGGTTGATGCCGGTGCCGGTGATCGGGATAGTGGCCAGGTGCACCATGAACACCGCGAAGCCGATTGGCAGAGGAGCCAGCACCTGAACAATTCATCACAACATCCATCTATTTAGCCACTTCTCAATGATTAACTCTAGCTTAATACATCACTACCATAAACAAACTCATAAAACAGCCGCCTTTGTATTTCAAAGCCATGTATGTAACAAAAAGGAGAGCTAGCTAGGAAAAATACATGAATGTTTTCATGCTGATATGCAGCCTTGAAAAGGACGGTTCACCAAATCTAAACAATCATATCAGCGAAAAATTATGTAGGACTTTCCTACCATGTCCCTATCTACAAAGTGCTTGTCTAATGCTAATCACAAGCGGTTTGCCACCTCACAGTTGCTGCATATAATGAATCAAATTAACTAGCTCTAGCTAGGGACTGAACTAACGAGTGGTACTAGTGGGTACTGATGCATCAGTACCGGTAGAGAATATCCGTAGACCTGCTTTATCATGCCTAGCTATTTCCATGCAGCATCACTAGTTAACTGAATCACTGGTACGCATGCTGAGAGGAGGGTGATAACTTACTGGGACGTGGGAGTCACGGGCGCTGCGCTTGGGGTCGGTGGCGGAGAAGACGGTGTAGACGAGAACGAAGGTGCCGATGATTTCCGCGGCGAGGCCGGTGCCCTTGGAGAAGCCGGAGCTGAGCTCGTTGGCGCCGCCGCCGTAGCGCACGTAGAAGGCGCTCTGGAACCCCTTGACGAGCCCGACGCCGCAGATTGCGCCGAGGCACTGCGCGATGATGTAGAGCAGCGCGCGCACCAGCGACACCTTGCGCGCCAGGAACAGCCCGAAGGTCACCGCCGGGTTTATGTGGCCACCCGACACACCGGCGGTGCAGTAGACGAGCACGAAGATCATGCCGCCGAACGCCCAGGCGATGCCGAGGATTCCCACGCCGCTGCAGGCCGCGTCGGCGGCGTTGGGGCCGGCGGGGTCCGCCTGGTGCTTGTACCCGATGACGGTGGCCACGGTGATGTAGAGGAAGAGGAGCGTGGCCACGAACTCGGCGATCACCGCGCGGTACAGGGACCACTTGGTCAGCTCCTCGGCGTCGAAGAGCGGCGCCGGCGGCGGGTCGGAGTAGTCCTTGGCCGCGTACTCCCCACCGGGTGGCGCCGCCTCGATGTCCTTGGCCATCGTCGCGCTCCTCAGCCGATCGACAAGCTAGGGTGGGTGTGTGTGGTGGTGCCCAAGGTGCGAGTGCGCCGAAGCTCTGTGTGGTGGTGTGAGACGACGAGGACACGGGCGTGGTATTTATGGCGGCGAGGCGCGGGGCGGCTACTGGCTCTCGGCGAAAGGCCGGCGCAGGGCGCTCCCTTTGCGATTAACTAGTTTTGTTTAGTGGCTGGGTTTACTAGTGGAAGATAAGGGCGTCTCCCGTTGGTGTCTTGTTTCTAGGTTATAAACTTTGCCGCCCACGGCCCTCATCATTGCATCACCCCAGAGCAGATGGCTCACTGCTGGCTGCGCCTAATACGGTGGAGCTTATATATTTTGATTTTAATCAGTGGCCCAGTTTCGTCTGGCGACGGGTGAATGCACGTACAGAATCCATGATTTGAGGTGATGGCAGGTACGTCGTCAGCTTATTTACCTGCTGAGCGTGCTGTGTGAAGCACCAGTAACTTGGTAAAACCAATCGAAATGCAGGCACCAAGTCAGCAGTCACTGGTTTGCTACGAGCATTTGGCGGCAAAATTTGTATTGTTGACATTTGTCTGGGCTCGCCACTAATGAACAACTGCTTATTGGTTGCTGATCATGCGTAGGCACGTCACGGCCACCCTCTAATCAAAGTTTCTATCCGAAACACTGCTTAATCCAAAAATATTGCATGATGCGCCAGCATCGGCTGTGTGTAACAAGCTGTACGCGTCTGGTCCAGATTCCAGAAGATGCACGAGGGTTCGACCGGATGGCGACCCGATATCCCTCCCGGATTTGCATGCCGGGAGACTGGAACCGTCCGCATGATGGGCGCGCGGCACTCTTTTCCAGCGTGCCCGTTGTTCCGTGCACGAGTATAGCTTCCGGCTCACCTCGCTTTCGACTTTTCCATGACGGCGGGCGGCAACAGCACGGAACGGAACCGAAAGTGAGGAGGCCTCATCAATGACCCATCGCCTCCCCCGTCTTCTCCACATTTCCATTCACGGGACGGGACGGCGGACGAGCTCCTTTTTCCCTCCTGAAGCGCGCGGCGCCCATGCGGGACTCATGGTGGTGGTGGTGGTTAGCGAGTGCGCGCACCCTGGCCATGGATTACCCTGGCACCATGCGCGAGAGAACAAGAAGGACCGACCAATCCACCGGTGACGCTGACGCGGATATAATTTTTGAAGGGGAATGGATGGGGTGAGCTGGGCGGCTCTTGAGTCCTACTCAGGCCGAATTATTTGTTGTGTTTCGAGTTTTCAACAACTGCGCTGGCATCTCAGGTTCATTTGTTACAAAACAATTAAAGCGGGAATTCGCTTCCATGGACAAACAAACAAACGGGTCGAATGGGCGGTCCATTATTCGACCAACCCGCAGCAATCAGGCATGCAACATTGTTTTTAATAGAAAAAATGGCAATGTTTTATTATCTCATGATGAAACGCCAAGGAGATACAAACACAACGAACACATATACATCCTCTGCACGGCTAGGATGTACTCCCTCCATTTCTAAATATAAGTATTTTTTTAAGATTTTAATATGAACTATATACGGATGTATATAAACGTATTTTAGAGTGTAGATTGACTAATTTTGCTCCGTATGTAGTTTATATTAGAATATCTAAAAAAACATATTTAGGATCGGAGGGAATATCAATTGACACATGTATGATGCAAATCGTAGGGGGTGAAATATGACGACACCACCGAAATCACACATTGGAGACACTATGTCGATCTCATGCCCCCGGAGCAAGTGTATGTTAATGGTAAATCTGGACATGCCCGTAGACAATACATCATGAGCTGCCACTACCGCGCCATGACCGTGGTATGCCACTACCAGCACCATCGAACAACCATGTCCCCATCATCCACACCGCCGACCAACAACATCGTTAATGCCGCCACGCACCGGCCCATGATGTGAGGATGCAACAAAGGATCGCCACTGCTCGCCCCCACGCACCATCTCCATGCCTCAGCCAACCAAACCACGGCACCAGAGAGGCATGTAAAGTGGCAGCTATAACACAAACCTCCCCAACATTGCCCCCAAGTGGGTACACGAAGCAGGAGATGTTATCGTCTAGTCTGAGGAAACCGGACCTAGGGTTTCCCTTGGAACCATCAGAGCTGTTAAGAGAGAATTGCATCGTTGACGCTGACAGAGCAAATTCCCGTCAAATCCCTCGGTAGGGGTCCAAGTGCAGCTGGAAGTCATGGATCGGAGGTCACACGAGGGGTTTATCCAGATTCGTGAAGGAAATATGCCCTAGAGGCAATAATAAAATTGTTATTTTATATTTCCTTATTCATGATAAAAGTTTATTATTCATACTAGAATTGTATTGATCGGAAACCTAAATACATGTGTGAATACATAAATAAACACCGTGTCCCTAGTGAGCCTCTACTTGACTAGCTCATTGATCAAAGATGGTTAAGGTTTCCTAACCATGGACATGAGTTGTCATTTGATAACGGGATCACATCATTAGGAGAATGATGTGATAAACAAGATCCATTCGTTAGCTTATCATAATGATCGTTCAGTTTTATTGCTATTGCTTTCTTCATGTCAAATACATATTCCTTCGACTATGAGATTATGCAACTCCCGGATACCGGAGGAATGCCTTATGTGCTATCAAACATCACAAGTAATTGGGTGATTATAAAGATGCTCTATAGGTATCTCCGAAGGTGTTTGTTGAGTTGGCATAGATTGAGATTAGGATTTTTCACTTCGAGTATCAGAGAGGTATCTCTGGGCTCTCTCGGTAATACACATCATAAACTTGCAAGAAAACAACGAAGGAGTTAGTCACGGGGTGATGTATTACGGAATGAGTAAAGAGACGTGCCACAAACGAGATTGAACTAGGTATGAAGATACCGACGATCGAATCTCGGGCAAGTAACATACCAATGGGCAAAGGGAATTACGTATGTTGTCATAACGGTTCGACCGATAAAGATCTTTGTAGAATATGTAGGAGACAATATGGGCATCCAGGTTACGCTATTGGTTATTGATCGGAGAGGTGTCTCGGTCATGTCTACATAGTTCTCAAACCCGTAGGGTTTGCACGATTAACGGTCGATGACGATATAATATTATACTCCCTCCGTCCCAAAAAACATGTCGCGGCGGCATTTTTACAAAAAACCCCTCTAGCTTCTCCCGACCAAACCCGCGCTCCTCGTCCTCCTCCTCCGACAGAAGCAGCAGCTGGGCTGCTCTCCGCCGCCGCAGCTTCCCCGCTCCCCGCCGCCGCAGCTGCCCTACTCCCCGCCACCGCAGCCCCCCTGCTCCCCCGCTCTCCCGCCGCAACTGCCTCCTGCTCCTCTACCGCAGCTGTCGCCCGCCTGCCTCCCCAAGCTCCCCCCTTCCTCAAAAAGATCTTCGATTTCCCCAGCTACCGCCGTTCTCTGCTCCGGCTGCGCCGGAATTGCCATCGGAGAGCCCGGAGGCGCCGGATCCAGACCACCAACAACAACCTAAGGCCGACGAGCAGCCAGGTGTCGTCCTCGCCATCGACGACGACGGTGTCGTCGACGCCACGGAGCGAGGGCGAGATCCTCCAGTTGGCCAACGTCAAGAGTTTCGTCTTCACGGAGCTGATTTTCAGCTGCTTCTGCTGCCCCCGGTAGCGCCGGCACCGTGCGGCTGTACGAGGGCCGCGTCCGGCACTCGCGCCGGCGGCCGGCGGGGCACGCCTTCGAGTACGCCGTGCGCTACGCCCTCGTGGACCTCGACCACCTCGTTGTTATTGTAAATTTTCCTCATTTGCGCTGAAGTGATTCAGTTCTCTGTTTGATGAAGGCGTCTACTGACGATACCCAAGAGCGTGGGGTACGAACAGAGAACAAGATGAATATTCAGCTACTGCTATGACGCAGCGGTGCAAGAACAAGATGAACACGCCAACATGTGGATTGCTGGTCAGTGTTTACATCTCCATCTTCTCTGTTACTCAAATGTTCTGAACTTTCTGAATCTCTGAACCACTTCACTGAATGTGTGTAAAATCTGTTCATTTTCTGGTTGGAATATTCGGACTAGTTCTGCTAGTTTAGAGTTTGGAGTATTTGCACAGTTAACTGAACAATTTTGCACAGATAACTGAACAGTTTTGCAAGCATTCGATCTCTGAACAATTTTGTTTTCTGTAAGATTTATACTGTCTCTAAATTCAGTCATGAACTATGAACTCTGAAATTAGTACTGTCCCAATAGCATTTTAAATATTCAAGTTAGGACTGCACTTTTAAAGTTCAAGATACTCCTGTAAATTAAACCTCAACTTGCAGAGTTGTTGTTTTCAGTTAACTGAAATTATAGTGACTACTCCTACTTTTTCCTTCTCTGTTCTGAAACTTCAGCTATCATATCTACAGTACCTAGCTACTGTCAGAACAGAACGATGTATATCTATAGCTTCATTTTAGAAATTTAATTAGTGCATTTCTAAAATGGCAAAGATTATGGCGCAAAGATTAGTTACATCACATCTAGCAGAAGTAATATTGTGAACCACTGGGCCCCAAGGAGATATCATCATCAGTAGATATCTACAGTTTTATTACTGGAGCCACCATACAAACCATGCAAACCTCATATTCTTTTGTTAGCTGAGAAGATCTGCTCTAGCATTTAGCAGAAGGATTACCACCACTACTATCTTATGATGTGTAGGTACTTAGAAGTTAATTAGGATCTTAGCTTAGAAGACCTGCTCTAGCACTAAGCACAAGTTAATTTGGAGTACTATGACTTTTTGACAGTCTGTAAAACAGGGCACTTGCTTCGCAGGAAAATTGAAACTGAACAATTGCAAGAGTTTTGCTTGATGTTATACTGCTATCCCATATTGAAACTGAAAATTATTCAAATAAATCCAAATGTTTTAAATTAATTCAAATAACTAAAATTAATCCAACTGGCCCATGTTTTTTCCCCTTCATTC